TTCAATCGTATTTAAAGAGTTAGTTTGATTGCTTTGTTGTGTTTTACAGGTTATATTTTTGTGACGCAATAAGAATGAGCAACGTTGAAGTGCATGTAATTCTCAACAAGTGAAACACTTTTAACAGAAAACATTTTCTCTGAAATTGAGTTGGACATGAGGAAAGCTGAAAAAACTGAAGAAAACACGTTATATAGAGCAGGTAACGTTTTATCCCAGCAGTTCCTTTGTTCCTTACACTCCTGCTTTTTTTTCTTCTCCTCCAGGTATCTTTGGGCTCACAGGTCAGGTTTAAGCCGGAAAACTTCTCCCTCTTCACCCGCATACAGCAAGAGACCTTTCCCCACGGCAATGAGCAACTCCTCAACTGGGCCCAGAAGAAGTACAGGGCAGTCACCTCTTTCTCTGAGCTCAAGATGACTCAAGACATCTACATCAAAGTCGGAGAAGGTGTGCACCAGATTCCCAAAATTCCCAAACATAGCTCTGGGCCCCAAGGCACTCCTCCACCCCATTCCCCTTTAGCTTTCATAACTTTACTTAGCTTTTGTGTTTTAGCCCAGGCTAGAGGTTTACATGCACTACGCTAGAAAAAGATTTTCCTTCCCTCAAAAGACAGTCACCCTTTCACACTTTTTAACAGGCCGCCTGTGGTATTCCTAAGTTTTGCTTGCTTACAGCCTCAAGAGTTCTTGGAACCCAGAACAAAAATGGTTATATTTCTGTAACATTGTAACATCTTTAAAAATGACTGGGTTCAGAATAAAGCCAATATATTTAAAAAAACCCAAACATATATAGGCAAATACTTTTTCTACAAGACAAAAAATGATCCCATTTAAATTGGAAATGTTGCACTTTTATCATCCTTATTTCAAACTTAAAATCCTTGTATCAGAGCAAGCAAACAAAGAAAAAAACACACATAGACGTTTGTCACCAACAACTCTACAGTTATCGACAGTGCAAGGGTTTTTGTGTTTGACAAGAAATGAAAAATGTAGCTGTAAAACAAAAGTTATGGCAGCTGAGCTACGAAGCCAAAATGATGAGTTTAGTACTTTGACTTACTGAATTTTGGGGCTTACAGACACTAAAGTAGCTGCTACTTTGCTGTTAATACACCAGAAGACTTTATAGTGAAGCCAAACAAACACACAGTACTGCTTTTCATTTTTTAACAAGGTGCAAGGTGTCATATTCTGTAGTTGGGGGAATAGGTGGTAGTTTTACCAGGAAAGAAAAAAGTTAGGAGGGAAAGATGAGGTTAGAAATAATTAGACAAATCCTTTCCAGTTTTTTGAATAAGTTTAGGAAGGAGGGTTTCTCAACTGAAGAGCACAGAAGGAGTCTCCGGGGTGGCCATGATTGATTTTCACACATGTTCAAGATGCAGAATTACAATTCTTTATTTTCTGCACTCACATTGTGAACAGACAACACATCCGACTCTGCATTTCATCAGTTCTCAGACAAGATAACTTGTTTTTAATGAGAATCTATTACTACATGAATATAGAGCTTGTGTCCAGAAAGAAATTAATGGCTCCACTAAGTAAGTTCTCTCTGTGTTTTGTTAGTTTCTGTGGAGAGCGGAGAGGTTGCTCAGCCTTCACGCTCTTGGCTGGTGTCATTAGGGGCTGTGGTTTGGCAAAACCTCAGAGTGCCATGATGTTTACTTCAAGTAAAGAGCTGTAGATTTCCACTCCTTCGCATCTTCAGAAGTGTTTCATGAAGATGGAGAGATCCTCACTTTGCTTTCTAGCATGCCCACACTCAAGGTCTCTCCTCAGCTCTTTAAGTGCCGCAAGAGTTCCGGAGAGGAAGGTGCCAGCCTTCAGTTTACACTCTGTCCAAAGTTCTGTTTGCCAAATAAGGAAGCATCTGTCTGTGTTTTCCCGTTGTGCTGAGAATGAGCGCAACTTTTCATCTTAATGAATTTTTGAACTGTTGTGAAATTGAAGGAAAAAACACAAGAAGTTTTGATGACTGAGCATGAATATTATTGTCCTGTTATTGCAAAAGAATTCTGGTAAAACATCTTGCTAAGATTTCCCACATAAAATCTAATTTCCCTGTTGATGGGAAGACAGATCATGCCAACCAGGGCACGCCCAACCTCGTTGGGCGCACAACCCTGGGCCTTGTTAGTGCTGCGAATAGTAGCTGCAGGGTTACAAGAGCAACTCTGCTGTAGATGGGAACAGCTGGGTTAAAGCAAATGTTCAGTCTTCCGAAGGTTTCGTGAGCAGGACGTTGAATTCGTCACTAGAGCGGGGGTTGCTGTTCTGTTGTTGACATCAGGCTCTGACCTCTCTTTGGTAGAGAAGTGCCAGAAGCTATATTTCTCCTTTGCAGGTCAAAATAGTTTCACAGCCCCTCTGAACAGTAACACAAACATTTCTCCACTTTCAGATCCACTGTCTTCTGACACCTGCAAGATTGATTCCAAGTTCCTGTCTTTGAACTACCTGGGCAGCTACAAGGAGCCACAGACATCAAAAGGCTGCGTCCTCTCTGTGCCCCACAAAGACAAAGAAGTCCACATCATTGAGCTCCAAGCCCCAAATGCCAGCAGGTGAGCAGCCAAGGCTGCAGAGGCCAAGAATACATGTTGTCACGGTTTATTTTTGAGGTCAGGATGCTCGCAATAATCTCTGTGGAGTTTATTTTGGATGGGAACTAACATGAAGGCGGAGGGGGGTTATGTTCACTTAGTGGTTTTCTTTTGAGGAAGAGATTTCAAAACTTGGTCTAACGGTCCAGTTTGCCAGATAATGTCCTCATTCCCCAGTGGAGTGATTATTCTGTACACCCAAAAGACAGAAAATCTGGGAATGTGTTGTATCTTGTGTGCTGTATCTTGCTGCGGTGTTATCTGTTATGTACGTCTGCAATTTTTTTTCTGGGAATACCTCCAGCTTTTTAATTAGTTGGCCAGACAAAGGCACAGTAACATTACATAGACCTGACCATCTATTATTATTTATTCTTTCTCTCTCCTTTTTTCCTGCAGTGCTTTCCAGGTGGATGTCATAGTTGATCTGCGGCCACTGAAGGAAGGTACCTGGGTACATCGTGACGTTGTCTTGCTGCTCAAATGCGCTAAATCTGTGAACTGGGTCGTCAAAGTCCACAATGTGACGGGCAATGTGCATGTGGTGGTAAGTTGGCAGCATTACAAGAGACAAAGGCTTTCCATCAAATGATATCTTTTTTGCTCTACAGGCATCACGGATGATTTTACATAGTTGGATCACATATCACTTTAGGTGTCGCGGACAGAAATGTCAACACTTTACGCTGCTGGCCAAAGAAGTTGTCACAGCAAAAATGTATGTTAAAGTGGCGCCTGGTCCACGCTGGGGGACAGGGTGGGGATAACAGGTTAGGAGGAACTGTGAAATGTCATTGTGGCACCTCCAGGAATTGTCATCACTTTGAGAGAGCCAGAGGCTGGAGTGAAGAGGGCATCATATATTTTCAGAGTCAGGCGTGCTGCAGTATTGGGCCAGAGCTGCTTCCCATCAATCATAATGTGAAATACGCGAGGCGCTTTATTCAGGCTTTCGGGCTTCCTCACCACACACAAAAGACAAACAGTGGCTAATTACTACAATATATCAGTATACGCTTGGGTTTGTGCATATCAACGGTGTGCTTGAGCATGTAGTTTTGATATTAAATCTTCATTACTGCCACTCAAGTCTCAGGACCCTCGGGAACCATAAGAATACGACACCTATGCACACTTTAGAGGAATAGTTTAACTGTAGATCATGTCGATACACAACTGGCCGTGGTCCAACCACCACAATTGCTGCAAGGCTGGAATTTAGAGCTCCTCTTTTCCTGGAGTAAGAAGAACAATTCCAGTTGAACTAAAAGAGAATCACCAACACTTTTTTTTAAATTTTGTATGCCACTTTCTTAAGTTTGCATTTTCTAGCATGTATATTTGTGTTCCCTGTGTGTGTGTTTGTCTGTGTGTGTGGGAGAGGGCTTGTGTTTCCTCAGTGTCTAATGCTGATACACTGCTGCAGCAGTGACACTGCACTTTTGCCAGGCATGCTATGTTTGTACAGCTGCCTGCTATACACTGAGTCAATCAGGTTTTTGGGTGTAATGCCAGGTCAAAATCCATAACACTTAGTGGGGAGAACAATTGAGTGTTTACGGAGTTAAATTTTGTTAATCTATTGGATTATATTTAGCTAGCAGTTTAGTAGATGTACAAAACATAAAGAAAAACATCAATTTGGCTATAAATGTAACAACTAAGGGATGCATTTTCACCGGAGGATCCGTGCTCCGGCACGTTTGGCCCTCAAACACCACTT